TAAAAGCCCGCGGCTCGGTGTCCGAGCGCAGCCGGCTGTCGGCCATCAGCCCGGGACTCGTTCGCCGGCCTTACGCGACATGTGGCGCCCGGTCCTGGAGTGTGTTTCCGGGCGAGCGGTTCCCGCCCGTTTGTCACTGTCCGCGATGCTCGGGCTTCCTCTGTTGGTTTTATCTATAAGGACCGGGAGGGCGGGGATTTGAAAGTCTGACTTTTTGCTGCCGTTCGTTTGCTCATTTGTATCCGGAGAACCAAAAATACTTGTCCGTCTCTTTGTCAAAGTGTATTTGAAATGCTGATGAACAAGCAGAAAATTCGATCGAACCGTTGTCACTTAACTAGAAAGGGTTTGGCCGCATGACTTTGTGTTCAGATTTTAGACTCTAAGATAATAAAGTGCAAGGATTGAATAATAAGCACAAAAGATTTGTTTAGGATGCCAAGTATTCTTCAAAGAAGGGCCAATGTGAAACGGAGCACTCCCAGAATGTAAGTGTAAAAGGGCTGTGGGCACGGGGCGAGGAGAAAGGAAGATGGAGCGAAGGGTACGCGATCTGAAGTCTGGGCGTGGCGAGTGTAAGGACCATTCTTCTAGCGCAGGTGACCTTTAACTCCCCCGTAGGAAACAGGTCCTTGGTCACGGCCCATGGTCTTCCGCTAGATATGATAGGGGGCGTGTGTTCTCTTTGGATCCAATAACGAGAGCAGACTTGAGGAGCTAAGAAATAGAGTAAGCAGGGAATCGCTTAACCTGTAATCTTGGAATAGAGAAGACTGATATCTACACAGCATTTTATAGTTTATACAGTGTCCTATTTTGCTGGTGAGAAAATTGAAACTCCTAGAGTCTAGACTTTCCTAAGGCTAAAAAGCGGCAGTTGGGAATTAAACTCAGGTCTTCTGACTTCGAATACCATCTCCTTTGCGTTTTACTCCCTACCGAAGTGAACTTAGGTGTATGCTTTATTGCATTTTTTATACTGCTCCTTCCACTTGTTCTTGGCATGTATTCTGTCTGTCACAGTTGCTCATTAAACAATGACTGAAGAATCTCAGAAAAATCATTTAACAATCATTTAATAGGTACCGTGTGGAAGATGTAGTGCTTAGTACTAATTCTTGTTAAGTTGACATAAAGGCTGATCCTGTTTGTAGTGGAGGCTGTAATCTAATGAGAATTGTAGGTGTGCATAAAGGACTGTCTCACTGTAGGGTGGGTGTCATAAGACAGGTGCTGGTGATGGATTGTGGAAGGTCAGAAATGATAAGGATGGACAGGTTTGAAAGGCTTTAGATCTGGGTCTTGAAGGAGGGTGGGTTTTGGCTTTACAAATAAAGAGAGGATTCTAAGTGAATGAAGAAAAAGCTGGAGGCAAGATATGCTAGGGAAAGCAGAGGATAGATTAATTTCATTGGAGCATGTAAGGGGAGTGGAGTTGGACCAGGGATGCTGGGTGTCAGGGGAGATTGATTTATGGCTCACTCCTTAAACCAAGATTAAATATATTATGATGCTGTACTAATTAAATATCTTGTAATTTCTTATGAGACAGATTGTTACTCATTTCTTTTTCTTTTTGATAGTTGGATATTTGATTCGATTACCAAGAGGTTTTTACTTAACCCAAGATTCGCTGAAAATAGTGGGGTCATCAAATTCTCCAGGTATTAATATATAGATTTTCAGTAATTTTAAGACACTAATTTGTATTTGTTTAAATTTTATCAATCGTGCCCAAAGGGCTAACGTTTCCCAGTCATCCTAGTCTGCTAAAGCCATTCTTTCTAAGACTATGGATTAAGTTGTTTCCATATAGATTCATTCAAGTCTAATTTTGTAACTACTTAAGTGTGCAAAAAATAGTTATTTCTGAAAATTACATGAAGTTGCCTAGAGTGTTTGCTTGCTATTATGTAACATATTATTAAATGTATGCAGTTCAGATTTGCTAAAACTTTTCTCAAATGAGAGCTATATATAAAGGATATTGGATTTCATAAGATTTTGCAGTAGTCGAGGCATTGCAAGTACAATTTTTTTTGCTTGCTTTTTATTGGGATGAATTCACATGCCTTAAATTTCCTCTCAATGCGTACAATACAGTAGTTCATTAGTATATTTAGTATAGTAACAAGTTGAGGTGACCATCGACTCTATGTAAGTTCCTAACATTTCATCACTCCGAAAGGAAATGCCAGTACCCATGAAGCAGTCACTGTGCAGCCCCTGGAAACCACTCATTACCTCTGTCTCTGAACTCGCCTGTAGCGCAGTTACACACCATGTGGCATTTTGTGTCTGGCTTCTTTACCTTAGAATAATGTTCGAGAGATCCATTCACATCATAGGATGTGTATCAGTGCTTCATTCCTGTTAATGGCTGGGTAATATGCCATTGCACGGATACACCTCATTTTATGTGTCAGTCAGTCGATGGTTATCTGGGTAGTTTCCACATATTGGCTGTTGTGAATAATGCCGTTGTGAACATTCACGGACAAGTTTCTGGGTCCCTTGCAGTTTCATACCAGTTCTAGAATTGGCTCGTTAACTGTTTGTGAACAAATGTTTTCAATTCTCTTAGGTGTAAGAGGGCGTGTGTGTGTGCGTGTGTGTGTGTGTGTGTAAAATTGCTAGGACATATAGTAACTGTGTTTATTTTTCAAAGAACCTTCACTATTTTACTCTCACATCAGCATGTGTAAAGATTTAAATTTCTCAATATGCTTGTCAACATGTGATTGTCCGTTTATTTATTGTAGTCATTCTCGTGGGAAGTGGATTCTCACTGTAGTTTTGATTTGCATTTTCCTAGTGACCAGTGATGTTGAACCTCTTCTCATATATTTATTGGTCATTTGGAAACCTTCTTTGTAGAAATGCCTATTCAAGTCCTTTACCTGTTTTTTAATTGCGCTAGCATTTTTATTACTGAATTGGAAGTTTTTTAAAAATACATTCTGGATACTAGACTCTTATCAGATATTTGACCTGCAAATATTTTCTCCTATTCTGTAGATTGTGTTTTTATTTTTTAAAGTGTCCTTAAAGCACATTTTCAACTTTGACACAATCTAATTTCTAATTTTAATTTGGCACTGGTGCTTTAGGTGTCACATCTTAGAAGCGATTGCATAATCAACGGTCACAAAGTTTAAATCCTGTGTTTCAATAAACATTTTATAGTTTTAGCTCTTGTAATTAGGTCTTTATGTATTTTGGATTAATTTAGGCATATGGCGTGAGGTAGGGATCACACTTCTTTTTTTTTTTTACATGTGGCTATTCAGTTGTTCCAACACCATTTCTTCAAGAGACTTTTCTTGCTCTATTGAAATTTCTTGGTGCACTTGTTGAAAAGCAGTTTACCATAGATGTATTTTTCTTTTGGACTCTAAATTCTTTTTCATTGATCTGTGTGTCTTTAGGCCAGTACCACACTATCTCGATTGTTGTCGCTTTATAGTAAGTTTTGAAATCGCTAAGGGTGGGCTCTTACATTTTGTTATTTTTAAAGATTGTTTTGACTATTCTGGGTCCCTTACAATTTCATGTCAATTTTAGAATTAGCTTGTCAGCTTAGGCACACACTCAAAAAAAGCCCTGGGATTTTAGTAGAGATCGCATTGAATCTGTAGATCAATTCTGAGATTATTACCACCTTAATATTAAGTCTTCTAATTCATGAACATGGAGTGTCTTTCTATTTATTGATGTTTTCTTTAATTTCTCTCAGTGATGTTCTGCAGTGGTCAGTGTACAGGTCTTGCAATTCCTTTATTAATTTTTTCCTAAATCATTTATTTTTTCTGATGCTATCATAAATGAAATGGTTTTCTCAATTTAGTTTTGGAGTGCTCATTTCTATTGTATGTAAATACAATTGAGTTTTGTAAATTAATATGTATCCTGTCACCTTGCCACCTTGCCCAATTTTTTATTAGCTCTATTTTTTTAGTGTGTAGGGAGGGATTATTCCTTAGAATTTTTTATATATAGCATCATGTCATTTGCAAATAAAGGTAGATTTATTCCTTCCCAACTCGGATGCTTTTCTTTTCTCGCCATTTGCTCCATCTAGTATTGGTGACAGCAGGTATCTTTATCCTGCTCTCAGGAGGAGGGAAAGGCTTGAGTCCTTCTCTGGTAAGTATAACATGAGCTGTGAGTTTTTTGTAGATGCCTTTTATCAGACTGGGGGAGTTTCCTTCTCTCCTAATTTGTCGACTGCTTTTATTGTGAAAGGGTGTGAAAGGATTTTGTCAGATACTTTTTTTACGTGTATTAAGACGATCATGTGGTTTTTGTCCTTTGTTGATATGATACGGCATTAAATTTATTGGTTTTTATGTTTCGAACTAGCCTTGCATTCCTGGGGTAAATAGCAGTTGATTGTGATGTATAATTCTTTTCCATGCTGCTGGATTTGGTTGCTAGTATTTTAAGGATTTTATGACCATATTCATAAGATGAATTTGTAGTTTTCTTGGGTTGTCTTTTGTCTGATTTTAATCCTAGGATAACAGCGTCTTCATAAAACAAGTTGGGATGTGTTACGGCCTCTTGTAGTTTTTGGAAGAGTTTGTGAACTGTCGTTAATTTTACTTGTTTGGTAAAATTCACGGTGGATTTATCAGGGGCTGGACTTTTCTTTGTGAGAAGTTTTTTGATTCTACTACAATCTCCTTACTTGCTTTAGATCTGTTCAGACTTACTTTTTCATTATGGTTTCAGGTGAGAAAGAAGCTACCAGTTTTATTGAGGATCACGTGAATGTAACGAGTTGCTTATCTCTTGCTGCTTTCAAATCTTGCCTTTGTTTTGAATTTTTATAATTAATTATGATGTATCTTGGTGTGGATGTCTTTGAATTCATCCTAGTTTGAGTTTAAGTGTCTTTGATGAGTAGATTCATGTTTTTTATTTATTTTTTTCATCAGTTTTGGGAAGTTTTTGCCATTGTTTCTTCAAATACTCTTTCTGTCCCCTTCACTCCAGTTTTTAATGGGATTTTCATAATGTAAGTATGGCATGCTTGATGGTTTCCCACTGGTCTGTGAGTACTGTTCATTTATCTTTATTCTGTTTTTTTTTTCCTGTTTGTTAGATCGGATAATCCAAAATCGATTGCCCAGAATTGGTGTTGATTCCTTATTGTGAGATTTCCAATTTGGTTGTACTTTTTAATCTAGAATTTCTTTTTGTTTTTTTAAAATATAATTTCTGTCTTTTTGTTTATAGTCACTATTTGGAGAGACATTATTTTCATACTTTTCTTTAGTACTTTAGGCATGATGTTCTTTGATCACATTTAAAGTAACTAATTTAAAACTTTGTACAGTAAATCCAAAATTTGGACTTCCTCAGGGACAGTTTATATTGGTTGCTTTCTTGTTTTCCTATCTATGACTCTACTTTCTTGTTTTTTCCATGTCTCATATTTTTGGTTGAAAACTGGACCTTTTTAGTAATATAACGTAGCAACTCTGGAAACCAGATTCTTCCCCCTTCCCAGGTATTGGTGTTGCTGTTTGTTGTGATTATTTCTTTGTCCAGTGACTTCCCTCAGTTCACTTGGTTAGACTAATGATTGGGTAGAGGTTTCATTAAACACCTGCAGCCAGTTCGTCAAGTCTTTGCCGAGGGTCTGTGTGTGTTTCTTGGGGCCTACCTTAAGCATTTAGCCAGGCAGTTGACAGATCTGCCTTATCATTCCCTTCCCGCCGTACAGAGCCTCCGTTTCAGCCAGAGGAGAGCGCTTAAGTCCTCCCAGTCTTCAGTGAGCACCCCAGTTTGGGGCATGCACCCTGCCCTGTACAAGCCTGTGGCCTTCTATTTTCCCAAGGATAGGTCAGAACTTTTCAAAGTTCCTAAGGGCCTGTCATTTCCAGCTTTTCCTCTTAAGGTTTTTGGCTAGCATGTGTTTATTCCAACGGTCAGTCACCGCATCAGGCCCTGACGAAGTGAAATGACAGCTTCTGTCGTTTTTGACGAATACCTTTGGAGAAAGAGCTTTCCACAGTGGGTGCACGCCAACTTAGGTCAAGTAAGGTAACATTTTTTAGGAACCTGTCAGAAATGTCAAGTAATGACAGTTCTCTGGGAAAGAGACATCGAAGATGGCCTAACCCATTTGTCCGCTTTGTGGCTGCCGGGGTGCTGGTAGTCATGGTGATTGTGGAGCGTCGCTTTTCAAGGCTGTTGAAGAGCTGGAGGGAAGTGAGCGTAGGGCACCTTAGAATGCCACAAGCTCTCTGCCAGGGCTGCTGTCACAGAGCCCCACAGGATGTGTGGGTTAAACGACAGACATCGATTGTCTCGGTCCTGGGGGCGAGAGCCCAGGCGGGAGTCGGCGCGGGTCCTTCTGAGGGCTGGGAGGGGAGGACGTGTCCCAGTTTTCTGTCCTTGGCTTGTACTTAGCCATCTGCTCCCAATGTCTCTTGACGTCATTTTCCCTCTGTGTTTGTCTGTGTGTCTAAATGCCCCGCTTTAGTAAGGACTCCAGGCGTATTGGCTTCGGGCCCACCCTGTGTCATCGAGCTCGATGACTTCTGTACAGACTCTGTCTCCGCGGAAGCTTATAGTCTGAGGCCCTGGGGATTAGACTTGGCCACACGAGCTCGGGGAGAGGCCTAACGAAACCCGTCACATGGAGATTCAGTTGTTTTTCTTGAATACGTTTTTCCTGGGTTGCTGCACGTCTGACTACTTTCTGGAGTTCTGAAAATGTTGATTCTGGCAATTTCTGCCACTTTTCTCATTGCCTTTGAGAAGGCGATAATTTTTGGAGATCCTTACTCTTCCGTTTTCACTGATATCACAACGTTTATTTACAGCTTTTGTTTGAAAACTACAACTCTGAAACCCAAATTATCAAATAGTTATATAAAGCTAATTTCCTTTTATTACCACTTTCTTTTATTGAGTATGATTACACTTATTCTTAAAACGGGTTCACATTTCAGTTTAGCATGTATTTCTCCTATCTGGAACTACACTGTTACAGGATATTTTGCTAGTTAAGCCTCCACGAAATGCCGACTGCCTTGTTTTTCTCGCCTGGAATGTGTCCCGTGTCTTCTGTCGTGCGAGGCTCCGGCATGAGTTCGCGTTAGCCATTTTCCTATCGTTACCTTCTCTAACTTACTCGCTTATTACTTATTCTTTTCTGTTCAGTTCGTCTTTTATTTTTATCCGCTCAGGGATCCGTCGATTCAGTAATCATTTGTTTACATTCCTGTTGCATTTTTAACTCGTTCCCGTTTGGGGGACACGCGTGGTGAGTACCGTTTTGGGAATGTCGTCTTGTGCTCGTTGGGCGGTGTTCTGGCTCCCTCGTACCCAGGACGAGATGTTCATCACCCTAGGACCCAAGCGACCGCGATCCCAGCAGACCTGCCCCTCGCAGTGGCTGCGCCGTAGTCACTGCCACCAGCGGAGCGTGACCCACGTCCTCGCCAGCTCACGGTGGTGCCGAGTTTTTCAGATTTGCGAAACTGGGAGTCGGGTTACCTCTGCCCGTCGTTTTCGTGATGTTCCAAAGGAGACACTTTCACGTTATTTATAGTCCACTTACACGTTGGTTATTTGTTATTTTTGTCGGAAATATCTTCTTCGAGATGTCAAATCGGTCATGCCTTTTCTGTCCCAGATGTTAACTTTGCCTGTGTTTCATAGGATCGAATGGGAATTGTTGGCGCTTAGGAGTTAGTCGTGCTGGGTTTCTAAGCCGCGGGGCACTTGGACCCTGGCGGGGTGTCGAGTGGCAGGGGCGCGAGTAGCTTGGCGCGGTCACACGGTCACACGGTCACACGGTCAGGGCGAAGACTAGGAAAAGAGGTGCCATGGGATGGGCACGAAGGACATCGTGGAGAGGAGGCCCGTGTGTCATGCACAGGGGTGGCAGTTTATACACCCAGCTGGGAAAGGAGTTAGGACAAAAGACGAGCAATTTACCCTGAGGGTGACAGGGAAGAGATAGAGGCGGAGAATGAGAGAGACCAAGGAGGAGCGGGTTGCATGGGTCCTAAAGCCACCTTTGGAGCATTCAGTAGAGGAACTTTAGGTAAATGTTCTGCGAGAGAAGAATGCAAGCAGAATGTGTTTCGAATAAAGATGGTAAAATTTAAATACAGGAACTTAATATTTTAGATAATTTTATATTTATAAACTTGAAACAAATAGTAAAATATAAATTTCTAAAACAGATTTTGTTATATTACGTCATAAATTAATGATCAGTTAAATTCCCCCGATTGATAATTAAAAATTTTGTTTTCCCGCTTCCTTCCTCCTTGCCAAAATAAGTACCAGGCTATAGAATTTTTCCAGGACAAAAACACTTGACACATTTTATCAGAGAAAATTTACAGAAGGAATCGCCCAGCTCATTTCATGCGCTCGCGGCCTCAGGCCTGCCTCGATAGTGCTGAATGCTGAGTGGCAGCTTTGATTCTGGTGTTGGAAAGGACAGAGGCTAGAACAAGGCAGTCACGTGCCTCTGTGTGTGTGTGTGTGTGTGTGTGAGAGAGAGAGAGAGAGATGTGACATGGGTGCAGGTATCCTGGGAAAATAATTTGGAGACTGAATTCAACGGCGTTTAAAAGAGCACGATCAATGAGAATGTTCAGAAAGCAATCTAGTAATATCGAACGTTCCATTACAGTATTCGAGAAAAGAAAAACAAATGATCATCTCAGTCATTGCAGAAAAAAACATTCGTTAAAATTCAACAGCAATTTCTGATAAAAACAGATGACCTAGGACAGAGGGTGACCCCTTCACCAAGGAAGGAAATCTGTCGAAAGCCGCGCTGGCCCACATCATGCCGTGTGGCGAAGCGTCACGGTCCACTAGCGTTAAGAGGAATTTGACTCTCAGCAATGTTTATTTTAGTGGGTCACGAAAATCCTTGCGTGTGAAGCAGCAAAGAATTGGAATGGAGTCGCTAAGGAGCTGTCGGAACCTTGGCTAAAAGCGTTCTTAGCAGAAAGCTCAGAACAGTCGAGTCTGGGCTGGGTTCCTGGTAGATCTCCTAAAGAACAGGATTTTGGTTTGTTTAATGATGAGGATCCATAAAGCAAAGTGGGAATAATAATAATTAAAATCAGTACATATTCGTTGATTTTTTTAATCACATGATTTTTTAAATTCAGTGCATTGTGTTACATCATTGTGAATCATGTATTATTTCTTTAAACAAATTTATCATTTCCTTTTAGGTGTGGTGTCTTTGCAAAAAAGATTAAGTACAGATAAAGCATTATCTTAATGTTTTGTAATTAAAATATTCCGAGAATAAACTAAACTAGTATATGTGAACTCTGAATAAAAAAGACTAATGTATTATGCTCAGGTTGAGATATACACACAAATAAAATATATGTGTATATTTTTGAATGTTATGTGGAATGTAATGAAATTTAGTTCTTATCAAGAAATAGTAATAATCCAAAGAAAACATGAAAACACATAATCCAAACTGCAATAATTTAAGGCATTGTAGACCTGAAAACACATAAAATATTATTGGAACATTTTAACATTGTATTTTCAGTGAAAGTGTACGTTATGCTCCATCACAAGAGTCCGCACGTATTATGTGTCACCCAACGACTGCGAAATTCAGAGCTGATAGACCCGTCATTCCAGTGGCATGGGCCCAAAGGAAAGATTGTTTCAGGTAGGTTTTTGCTTCAATAATCATAATTAAATGACGGATATATCTGAAATGTCCTAAGCACAGGAAGAGCATCGTGTGCCACCTCCGTCCATCCTTTTCCTTCCGTCTGTCCCTTGCCATTTCCTTTTGGGGCCGTAGTCTACAGTTCCCGCAGATCTTAATTGAAGTAGCGATGTACCAGGCACGGGACTGTGTGCGGTGTTCTTTCAGCATCTGGCTTCCAAAAGGAGCTACTTCCCTTTAGAGTTCGTAAAATCATTTTGGTCACTTCAGCCAGGCTTTTGTTAGTAAAGCATATATGAGCAAATATGATTCTGATTTTTGTTAAAAATACAAATGAGCACTTTGAACAATAGACTTACAAATACGGTTCTGTTTGTTTTCTGCAGCCCCACATAGGGACAATTTGCGACTTTATCAGTAGTTATAATTTTATATTTTTTAAATATATTTCTTTCCGACCCAAATCCTGGCAATATGGATTGCATTTGAATTTAACTTAAATATTATTATCAGTTTGGGGGGAAAAATGACTAAATTTAACATTAAATCTTTTAGTATCAAAAAGCTGCTTTTAAATATACCGCGTGGTTTGACAGTGGCTGTCTTTTCGTATATTATTGATTCTGTGGTGAAAAAGGGGACCGTAGCCCTTGGGTAGCTGTCCCGAGAAGGTGGACTGGCCACGTGGCTGAGTGGCAGCCTTACCTTTTCACACTTTTGAGAAAACCAGATCTTATTCTCACAAAGGTACTTTCCACACAGCCATTACTGTTAGTGTGACGGATGGGATCAACATTTTCTCCATTCAGATTCTTATTTTGTTATTTTGAAATGCAAATCTTGTTTTTACCCTTAATTTTTCATTTGCTAAAAGCCGATTTGTTTTTGCAGTGTAGTTTAAGAAATATAGATTAGCTTAGCTGTTTGGTTTTCATCCTCGCTGAAAAGTTCAGATGAATGAATTTTCATTTTAAAGGTCTGTTCAGTGAAGCGTTTAATCATATTCACCATGATTCCTTCCTTTCTTTTTTAACCCTGTTGGTATTTTGAGATAGTGCCTGTCGATGGAAATCTACAGGTTTATTTTCTTTTCTTGAATAGAGAGGAAAGCAATATATTCGTACAAGGACTTGCTGAAGAAACATTCGCGGGAACTCTTTATCTTGTAATATGTTTTAGTTCATACTTTTATAGTTGAATGATCTCGGCTGTGCCTCACTGTGTATCATGTTTACGTTGATTCTAGAATAGCTCAGGGTTTGAAGTGGCTCCCCTGGTCGCTGACGTGGTGGCCCTTCCGGTTCGTTCAGCTGGGCGGGGGCACGTGGGGCCGGTGTGGCCGCCGTGGCCACCGTGGCCGCGGAGGGAGCCTGAGGAAACGGACGGGCGGAAGCGCCCCCGACGCCGGAAGTCTAACCAGATTTAATCCCTTCTGCTGTCTGGCGGTGTAGCACAGTGTAATGCCAACACGTGTATCAAATGTTTTACATTTTATATTGAAACCGAGTTCAGAAGTAGAAGCGTTGAGGTATCGAATTGTTCTATTGTAATTTTTTGCTCCACCGATGTGCAGATTATAATCTGAACCTTTTTTTTCCTCGAAGACGTCATGGCACGTCTTGCAGTTTAAATCGCAAAGTGTCGTTTACAGTTAAATCTCGATGCCTCTCGCCAGGAGCCCTGTTGTATTGTGTTCACTCTGAGAGTGGAAAGCGGGTTTGGAAATGGAGTTATTTCCGGGCAAGGATAAGATCATAGTACTATATTTTTATATTTATAAAAACTATTCTCAGGAAATTTTGATATTCTGACATGATCATATTTTAGTTTTGAGCGCTCTCTTGGCTTGATTCTGCCGCAGTTTTACTACACTCATGTTTGTGACGGGCGGTTGGGAGGGAGGGGTGGTTTCTAGTGTCCCTTAAGCTTTAGTCTCCGCAGGTGTGGTGGCCCTGGATCTCGGGGAGTGGCCTTCACGAGTGCCCGAGCCCCTCTTCCAGCTGCAGAGCTGGCCTCGTACCTCTTGCTTATTCTTTCTGAAGGACGAGTGTTTTCTTCCTGTTCCTGAGAAGGTCGGCCTGGCCCCCACTGTCAGCAAACATCAGATACAGTGACCAGTTACGCCCCCAACTCCTTTGACTGATTCCGTAGGTAGATTTTGATGGTTTTACTATGTTGAGAAAACATTTTGTTGTTTTATCTCAATCATGTAATTTCAGCCATGGATTACCGTATCTTATTCCTTTATTAGAAAACAGCACTGCACAGATAACGTCCACAGGAAGCCTTGTGTTCCAGAACTTCGAGGAGGGCATGACTGGCGTTTACACGTGTTTCCTCGAGTACAAACCGACCGTGGAAGAAGTTGTTAAAAATCTCCAACTGAAATACGTCGTTTACGGTAGGAAGGGCGCCGAGCTGCGTCTTAATGTTTCTCAATGTCTTCAAATATCTAAGTATTTTAATGTTTCTTTTAAAGACATTTTGTTAGTTTTACTCTTTTAATTAAAGAAAAACCCCCGCCTGCCTGTATTTTACAAAGCCCTTCATTGGGGGCTGGTGGCGAGGGCGACCTTTTATCTTGAGGGCATGTGCGTGCGCGCACAGGTAAACGGAAACGGGGTCTGGGAACACATTTTCAGACTGTGACGGGGGCACCGTGCTCCGTACAGCTTTCACATCCTGAGTGTCACGGTGACGGCACCGCCATCGTGCCTGACAGAAGCAGGACGGGCCACTGTGGAGCCCTTTCCTGGACGCAGTTGGATGCGTGAGGTTTGGGACTGGGCGAGCCCAGCTGGCAGTGGGGTGGCCGGAGGGGTCTGGACAGAGGCTGCTCGTGGCTCCTGTCTCCTTGGCGGGCCCGGGTGGCAGTCATCAGAGATGCCCGTGTCCCGCTGCGCTGGCCTGAGGCACTTCACCAGTATTGTCCGGTGGAGGATTCTGAGTTGGGGAGATTATCCTGAACCATCTGGGCGGGCCCAGGACACTTAGGAGAGGGCGGCCGGAGGGTCAAAGGCAGAAGGAGGAGATGTGGCCATGAAAGGGAGGGCGAGAGTGATCTTCTCTGAAGACGGAGCTAAGGAATCCGGGGGGGCCTTTAAAACCTGGAGGCGGCAGACACTGGACCCCCCGAGCTTCGGAAGGGTGCACGTTGGTGCCAGCCTATAACCTTCATTTTGGCTCATTTCCAGAACTGTTAAGATAATTAAGTTGTGTTATTTTATGCCACTAAATTTGTGGTAATTTGCTATGTATGGTAGCAAATAATTTGTTTAAACTTTATAATCAGTCCCACTTTATTTTTGTTACATAGTTTTCTCCATTTTGTTATTTCATGTATCTAGTTTGTAACAAATATACTTTGAAATCACTGGTAAGCGTGTGTTTACCTAGGCTGACAAATGTAACAGTGCCTAAAATGAATACTGGTTTATAATAAAGAGAGTGATAGCCGAGATTTACTGAGCTTTTATTATGTTCCAAGCAATTCTGTGTTTTACATGTAATTGGAATAACAAAACGCATTTAGTGCTTACTTACACAAGACATGGTTTGAAGTGCTTTATTTGTGTTCAGTTTAATCCTCACCATAAACCTGCGCAGTGGGCACCGCTGGGTTCTGTCTCGTAGGGATCAGACACCAAGGCACAGGCTGGGGAAGTGACTTGCCGGCCGCACAGGTGGAAGGTGGGGAGGTTCGGGGTTGCATCTAGGAATTCTGGTTCTAGCGTCTTCTCATCCTTTGTGACATCCTGCTGTACACTGCTACTTACCAGTGGCAGCAGCAGGAAACCGCATTTAATAAACTAATTTTTGGAAACCTATTTTTGTGCTTAAAACAAATCCTGTGATTTATTCTATTTCATTAGAAAGACACACTTTAATCTTTCTAATGGCTACATAGTATTTCAGATTTTATTTGAGCTTTCCTCAGTTGCTCATTTAATTTGTTTCAAATTTTCCCACACTCAGATTTTCCCATATATTACTGTGTGGGACATTTAAGTAAATCGGTATCTTAATGGGATCCTTTTTCTTCCCTCAAAGGGAGCGGATCCAGAATTAATTTTTTTTTGCCTTTTGACCTCTCTCACCCATTTCTCCCAGTGTCTCCCCCTGCCTCTCCAGCCACCAGTCAGTTTTCTGTATGAGCTTTTTTTTTTTCAGATTCCATATGAAAGAGATACCATATAGTATTTTGTTTTTGTCTGACTTAATTCACCTAGTGTAATGTCTTCAAGGTCCATCCATGTCGCAAATGGAAAAATTGGACTTTTTATGTCTGAATAATACTTCATTATGGAATATTATATGTACCACATTATATATACCATGATATATGTACCAGAAACACACATGCCACCATTTCTTTGTCCATTCATCTGGGTAAAGAATGGCTACTTCGCTGCTTTCTATATGTTGTCTGTTGTAAATAGTGCCACAGTGATCATGGGGGTGCATATAACTTTTCAAGTTGATGATTTTGTTTTCTGCAGAGAAATGCCCAGAAGTGGCATTGCTGGATCACGTGGGAGCACTCTTTTTAATGTTTTAAGGAACCCCTGTACTGTTTTCCACAGTGGCTGCACCAATCCACATTCCCTCCGAGGTGCTTGCCCCACACCCTCCCTTACACTTGTCATCTCCTGTCTTGTTGACGACAGCCGTTCTAACAGGTGTGAGGCCATAGCTCATTGTAGTTTGGATTCGCGTTTTCCTGATGTTTAGGGATGTTGAGCACCTTTCGTGTACCGCTCAGCCATGTGCGTGTCTTTGGAAAAAGTCTTTTCCTTCTTCCTACCCATTTCTTGGTTGGATTGTTCGTTTGTTTGCTCTTGAGTTGTATGACTTCTTTATATATTTTGGATATTAAGCCCTTATCAGAGATACGATTTGCAAATATCTTCTCCCATTTGGTAGAGTGTCTTTTCATTTCGTTGATGGTTTCCTTTGCTTTGCAGAGTTTTTTTGTTGAATGTCATATCACTTGTATATTTTTGCTTTTGTTGCTTTTGCTTTTGGTGTCAGATTCAAAAATAGTGCCCAATAGTGATGTCAAGGCCTATGTTTTCTTCGGTGAGCTGTGGTTCAAGGTCTTGTGTGCTCGTCTTCAGTCCATGTGGAGTTCATTGTTGCGTGTGGTAGGAGATAGGGGTCCACTTTCATTCTTTTGCCTGCGGCCGTTTATTTTTCCCACCACCATGTATTGAAGAGACTGTCCTTCGTCGCTGTATGCCCTCGACTCCTTCATCGTGAGTCAGTTGGCCGTGTGCGCGTGGCTCTTTTGGGTTCTGTTCCGTTGACCCCTGTGTCCGTTTTGGTGGCGGCACTGCACCGTACTCGACGGTTCGTTTCCTGACTGTGCGTGTGGAGAGGGAAGGCTCCCTTACGGTCGCTGGCGCTCAGTCCTTTCTGGGAGTGTGAGGGGAGCCCCTGACCAGGCCTCCAGAACAGCTGCTGTGGGCTTTATGTCATGTTTTATCGGTCTCATTTCATCTTTTAAAGCTTGGGATTTTTATCCGAGGATTTTAGTTTGTAAGCTGTAGCTACAAGGGGTTTGCCACAAGGACTTGGGGCGCTCATCATGGCTAAGTGAGAGGTTCACAGTAGCAAAAGCAGGGGCAGAGACGTGGGCAGACACGGGAGAAATCCAGGGACAGGCCTGCCACACCCTCTCCTTTCTGCGCAAGGTCACACCGACCCCCCTCTCTTCTGCAGGAGGGAAAATCCAGTACCCCCTGTGCCACTGCCGCCCAGGGAGCCAGGTGCTGGCGGACGCTAGGCTCGTCGGCTCCCTCTGCCCGCCGAGTTGCAGACCCCAGGGGCGCCGGGTTCAGGCCCGGGGTAAATAGTTTGATCTCGACGGGGAGAGCCCCATGGGTGGGTGTCGGAGGCGCCGGTCCAGAGCCTGTCTGCCCGCAGCCTGGGACCCGCCTCGCTGGCCCCTTCCGCTCATGAGCTGGCCCGTCCCTCCGTGTGTCTCTCCCGTAGGGGTGACTGGCTCTCTTCAGAAGACACTTCCAATAACAGTTTCTGAGGGTGTTTGGGGATGTTTGGCCTTTCGATTGAGTTAGTAGCCTGTTGTGTGCCAGATCTCTGGAAAGGAAAAGGGGCTTTCCAGCCAGGGACAGAGAACGGAGGTGTCCCTGCTGTCCTCAGCCTTCCCGTGCACCTCGCTCCCTCCGCCGGCTCCGGCTGGTCGGGGTCGGCGCTTCCCCGTGGCGCTTCGTCCCATCACACGCCTCAGATAGGACCGATGGCGACGTGGTCCGTGCATGATCAGCGCGTGCGTCAATGTATCACATGCCGACACATGGTCGCTGCAAGCATGATGGGCCTCTCAACGTGACACTTACTTCCAGTACTAATGGGCCTTTTCGGTGAGGTGACACAAATCTCTGTTCGTGTTTACAGCATATTTCTGTTTGTCTCTTGATTAACTACTTTCTGTCCCCTCTGTCCTGTCCTCCCCTCCCAGGGCTCCTCCGGGCGACGTTGGGTGTCCGGGCCGCCCTCCGGCTGTGCTTCACTCTTAGATGTCTGTAGCTGAGTCCTCTGCTATGTGAGAATCCCGTTGCTACATCTCCAAACACTTAGATTTTTAAACTTGTTTTTATCTGTTAGTTAATTTTTTAGATTTCCGTATTTTGTATTTTTTAATTTTTCAAGAACACTTAGTATTTACCAATCATTTCTCTTCTGCAGTGGCTTTCTAATGCTTATAGTTATATTCTGTCTGTCCTAGCTGGGATATGAGAAGATTCCTCAATGCTTCCTGCACTGATTTACTTTCATATACTTTCCTTGCCTTTCCTTTTCTTGCTTTTCTTTAATATGCTGGGTCCCCCCAAAGTTGGGGGTGGGGTGGTCTGCGATTTTCATTTATACCCACGAACGGAACTGCTCATTTTCTCAGCAGCGAGACGCTCTCTGGTCTCTGCTTTGCACACAGAGACCACAGCAGCTGGGCGCGCGCACTGCGCTGTGGCCCGTGAGCAGGTGGGACCTCGGACAACGGGGTGCTGGCCCGTCAGGGGCAGCAGGAGGCGGGCAGGGGGGCGCCTTCGTGAGCAGAGCAGCGGCAGAGCTCCCTGTCCCACGGTGACCTGTTCTGATTTCTGCTACTGTTGCAGGCTTCTGTTTCGCATTTCATTTTTATATTTCTTTGTGTCGCTTCAGCGAGATTTTGCAGTGAAGAGGACAAACATTGTTCTCAGCTCCAGATACTGCAGTGCGACCAAGTCTCACTTGTAGGCTTGTGGGGTACTTTCTTGCTTGTTGGCGCTGGTTGTATGGCTCCCGTTTCTTTGAAGATGAACACTGAACCCGAGGGGAGTCTCACTGCCGAGGCTGAGACGGCGCAACACGGTGGGAAGCGCGCAGGCTCTGGGCCAGGCTCCCGGGCTAGAGTCTGGGGTTGACGGCGTGGGGCTTAATTAACCCTGTGTTCCTCCACCTTCTCATGATGGATGTAAAAGTAATAACCATCTTAAATGATGCTAGGAGATTTACGTAAGTACTACATGTAATATATCTATAATAGCATTTTCACTTAGTGAATGTTAGGTGTTTGTTAAATTAAAACATACATGTATACGTGTAATGAATTTATTCCATGTAGTGATTTCTCTTGAACAGACGCAGTTTATTTGAGTTGCTTGAATAACCGCTGTCATGTTGTTCCGTGTCCCGTCTCTGACAGCTTATCGCGAGCCTCATTTCTACTACCAGTTCACTGCTCGGTACCACGCGGCGCCCTGCAACAGCATCTACAATATTTCTTTTGAGAAGAAACTTCTTCAGATCTTAAGCAAATTGGTTCTTGACCTTTCTTGTGAAGTTTCCTTACTGAAGTCTGAATGCCATCATGTTAAAATGCAAAAAGCTGGTTTGCAAAATGAATTGTTTTTTACATTTTCAGGTAAGTGTATGCGGTTCTTTAAAGGCAACACATTGAGGGCACAAAGCCAATTTTAAAGATGTGTAAGTTACCAGCAGCATTTGTTTGTTGTTTGTTTGTTTGTTTAAATTTATCAGGGTGACACTGGTTAAAATTATGTAGGTTTCGAGTATACAATTCAGTGATATGTCACGTGTATTGCCTTGTGTGTTCACTACCCAAAGTCAGATCCCCTTTGCATACTGGTGAGCACAGCTGCCCACCAGCAGCATGTGTAAAATGTAGATGTTACAAATCTGAATACGTTTCACATTTCTCTACTTTGACTTAGTTCTAGTAGCCCTTCAAATAAAACTCTGCTGATTCATGCACTTACCGGAAAGTGTGTACTCTAAATAATGTGAACCTTGCTATGATAATTTACTGTAGAATGGAATTTAGTATAAAATATCATGTATTTTCTCAGTTTCGTCTCTAGACTTTGAAAAGGGACGTAAGCCGTGTGTAGGCCGCAACTGTGACGCCACCAGAAGGCTGTCAAAGGTACGTCCTGTGACGCTGGAGAAAAGTGAGCTCACTCAGTGTGTAAGGCGTGCGTAAGCGTCTGAACCATTTATGAAACACGTCAGCCTCCCACACGCATTTAGGAACTTCAGTAATGAAAATAAAACTTCATAAAGTAATAAATGATGTGAACTTAACAGCTGATATTTTTATGAAATATTTAGGAATTAGCATTTTGCAACTGATCGTGTTAAGAAAGGTGATTTTTCCTTTTGCCTAGGTGATGAGTCCGTTAGTGACGTGAGGTTTTGCATTCCCACGCTGTCACTGTGCTGTCATCCGAGTCTCCCTTTACGTCTGTAAATGTTTGCATAATACGCGAGTGCTCCTGTGCTGAGTACATCAATATTCACAATGTTACATCCTCTGGTTGTTTTGATTTCTTCTTTATATAGTGACCTCCTTTGTCTCATATGACAGTCTTTGTCTTAAAGTCTGTGTTGTGTCACATAAATCCAGCTGCCCCACGTCCTTCTGGCTCCCGTTCCATCACTTTTAGTCTGAGTGTTTCCTTGAACCTAAAGTGCGTCTCATGTAGGTAGCATACGCAGGTCTTTTTTAAAAAAATGTGTTTGGCCACTCTGTGTCTTTTGATTGGAAAATTTAGTCCATTTACATTTAAAGTGATTAGGGATGGATCTATTGCCGTATGTGTGTTTTCTGACCGTTTTGTGATTTTTTTTTTCATCTCTCGCTGTCTCCCCC